AAGAGACAGGAAGATACGTCAAAAGGAATTGAGCAGTAAGTTACTTTCCTCAACAACGTCCCAGAATCAGAATAAGAGCTGCTCTTCCCCAGAAAGAAGAGCGAGACACAGACTATTAAACAATTCAAAACCTAAGAAGTTGCTTCAAGTCAGTTCTGTTGCAAATTTTTTCCTTAATCCCAAAGGCAAGAGATTGCACGCTGATCCTGGAGAGCAGGTAACTATCTCAGAGATATGTTCTTCTACTTAGAGTTTAATATTCAAATAAAACTACGAGGCACTTTCTGCTAGTAAAGAAAGCTAACTGCAAGAGTAGAAGAACATGTAGATTTACCTAGTGATGCGTATGAGCCTGGGGGCAAGGCTGCAGCAGAACTGAAGGGGGTGGATGCTCCAGAAGACGTCACTTTTGACTTGGCACTAGCTGCTGCATTCACATCGACGTCACTGCGGGATCGCTGCAGAGATCCTGGTGTTGACACAGATTTTGTACTTACTGTAGATGCTGCAGATGGGAGTGGGAGATCCAGAATAAAGAAGATTAATTTTTTGAGCTGTGTGCTTCAAAGAGCCTGGCAAGCAGTTTAATGTACTATTTTTAACGCTCCCTGATGGCACTGAAATACCTCAACTAAGAATGCTTTATCAGGGCAATGTGGGCTTCCCCACACTGCCTGCAAAGATACTTCAACGCTGACCTGATGCTACCTCTAAGAACTTTATCAGACACTAACCTAAATGCTGAGATCAAAAAGGCTGCCAGGCCAGTAATAAAGAAATTCCTAACAGAATCTAGATGGGAAAGTTCAACCAGGGTATACCCATCACCAGCTTGTGAGGTGCTGGCCAAAACAGACCTGCAGGTCCTTCAGTCCAGGTTCTACTAACTTCTTTCTCAGTACCTCATCTTCTCATGAGGACTGCTGTTCCCATCATTTGTTGATGCTCACCCTCTTAAGCATGAAGCTTGTCTATTCAGCTGCAAACAAATATGCATTTGTGTGCACAATCAAGTAAGTTACACAACAATATCTCCTTGAAGTAAAGGTCACAGTAGGGTGTACTGTACACACAAAACAGCCAGAACCCGATCTTGGTCAGGTGTAGAAGGCAGCTTATCTTCTATCAACAAAGTTTTGTCTGTTATATTCTGTATTAAAATTTATTATTTAGATTATTGTATGCATTTACTTAGGACAGGAAAGCTGCACCTAAATATTCCATCTGACACTAAAAACAGATTAGCAATGAGATGGAATTTAACACTGTAGGACTCGTGTGCAGGCGATGTCTCCAGTAAGTGCTGAAAGCACAGAGAATAAATGACAGAAAATTGTAAAGCTGAAAGCCCCCTTAGACTATGTAGCTGTACGTCTCAGCATTAGCAGTAGTTTATTCCAGCTATTGCACAGCTAAACATATTTGCTGCAATATTCAAGGCTTTTTAGCCTTACCTTCAGGTGCAAGCAATAACAGATTTGCTAACTTTCAAAAGCATCATTGTATCAGCAGTTGATGCACAGAATGTGATGTATAACCCGAAACTAATTAATATTTTTACATAATAAGTTGCCATTTTAAGGAGCAGTAAACAGTGATCAAAGTTGTTCCTTGCGTATTATAGTGTCTGAAATTCTTATTTGAATTCATCACGCTTCCTCAGCAACACCTGAGCACATTTTTCAGCTCCTGTTCTCACCTCTAGATGTTGTACTTCCAGTAGGACTTCTTTTGGCAGACAACGGACGGCTAGAAGTTAATATAAATATTTATTAAAAGAAAACTGGTATTTCATAGTCATCAGTAACAGTGCTACTCTGTTTCTTCAGTACACAATTGAGTTAATAGGAAGTTATTCATATACAGGGAGAGACTAACAAAGCCTGTTGTTTAAGAACAAACACAGCACCATCATGAAAATCTTTACAAAAGCACTAAGAAAATAATTAGCATGCACATTATTTGAGCAAGAAGAGATTTTTAAGGCCACTTTTTTGTAGATTTTTTGTTTGTAGATTTTAAGAAGTTATATCAATAAGTTATGCATATATCTTTCATATAGGTCTAATACTTAAATTGCAGACATTTGAAGTCTAAGTTGACTGTATCTCCAAGATAATCTAAAATATATGCGTTCAACAGAAGAGTTACATATTGATTTTGCAGTTACAACTCAAATTTAATTTAGTCAGGTTTTTTTTCCTCTTATATGGAAAGAGGGAGTCTTACAGCTCTAGAATTAATGCTAAACACAGAATTTGAATCCAAGTATTGTTGTAAGCATATTTGGAAGAAATGACTAACAGTATCTGCTGAGCACAAAGCTTCTTAGAAAATTATTTATGGAGTCAAGATAATGATATTTTTTTTTTAAAGCTAGTAATGGGTTTTGCTGACTTTTTATTTTAACACAATGTTAGTTAAAAATAATAATTTTGAAGAAATCAAGTATTGAGGCCAAGTGATGATGATATGAGACAAAGCAACGTGATGGCTTCCTCCAATCCAATGCAGCTGTCTGTAATTGTTTAAATTGAGAGGTAATGACATCAAAGGACTTACTTGAGACTCTCCTGGGAGCTGGAGGAGGAGCGATCCGACTGGGGCAAGGACACGATGCTGTCAGAGTTCTTCAAATGTGACTGCAAGGCCTTCTGGTAGGAAGACTCCAAGGTGTGGTACAAATGCTCTGCCTCTCTGCTGAAGTGACTGTGGAAACCCCAGTAACATCTGGAAGCAAGCCAAAACACTGTGAACATTTCCTTGTCATGTTTTAGGGGGCAGTGGAGCACAGGTATAGCCAGAGCACTTTTCACTACTGGGATTAGTGGGCTCATTAGTCCAGTCATTTCAACTATATACTGCCCCTGTGACACACTCAAGACATATCACTCTAACTCATTGTATTGCTCAAACGGCTACACAGAAGACAAAAAATTAAAATAAGAAGGGAGGAATGCACCACAAGTAGTCAAAAAAGCTTTATTACAGAAGAAACCCTCATCCCTCTGGCTGTCTACCATTCATGGGAGATGGCAGACCCACAGACTGATACTAATTTGGGACTAGGTGCTCAAAAGCTACTTCAAAATAATGCCAAAAGCAGAATACACGTGCATGGGCCTGATTCAGGAAAGAACCAGCTAGAGTTGTTTTCTTCCTTAAGTTTAACAAACAGCTCTTCTACCATGCTACAAAGATCAATCTTCTGTACTGACTTGAGACTGTTGACTGTCTTTTTGGGAAAAAATAACAAGAAAAAGGAAATATGCTCCGATAGATTTCCAATCAGTACCATGCTGAAAATAAAAGAGCATTTTAAGATGAGGGAAGAATTCCTCTCTGGTGCACATCTCCTGGCTGATGGCTAAACACCATTCATTCTCATCACAAAGGAGATGAAGACTCTCGGCACTTTTCAGGGGGCAACTAATGGGCAGTTGAAGAGTAAGATTGTTCACTCAAATGAATCAAGAATTGTTTGAGTCTGACAGCCAGTCTTCAGACCCTCAGAAGTCACATGCATTCTCACATCATTAGAAGGAATTACATTTCTGTCTTACAATCAGCCACACTATTAAGAAACATGGGAAGAGAGAATTAAGCATGCCCTCTGAAGTCTCATGCCATTCTCCTTGCTGTCTATTGAGCTTAACTAGTCACCTGCTGTGAAGTCTCAGTGCCTGCTGTATTTTTCAGTGATGGACATGTTCCCTTTCGAAAGGATTTAAACAGTCCTACTGTGAAACACCTCTGCTTATAACATAGCATTCAGATTAATAAAATTTACTGTTCATTGATCTCATGTTTTACAGCATCCTCTTTCTGAAGAAAAATGTTCCTGTACTGTTCTGTTCAGAAGAGCATGATCATAGTACATCAGCACACCATCGCAAGTACAAACACACTAATGGAAAGGCAAGCAATCTTCAACAGAAGAAAATTAATTGCCAATATTAAAGTTTCCTATGGACATACACAAAGATATTACTTCAGTGTCACAAAATATTTCCTTAATTTAGGATACCATTTAGCAGTGTATAACCACAAGGACTTTTGTTTCAAGAGTAGCAAATAACTCAGTCTTGCATATAGGCCAAAAAGCAAAGAAAAAAACATATTAGAAATAGTGGTTTTGTACTGAACAGAAGAAGCCTCAGAAAACTGCAAGCAACTCAAACATCAAAAAGACAGACAAGGTTACTAGTTCTCAACTCTAGACTCTTGAACTCAGGTAAGCATAAGCATTTTACCTGCTTGGACAGATAGAAAGACAATAAAATATTATAAGAACAAAGTGAAGTAAGCACCATTAAAAGAATCGATACATATACAACTCAGCCTGCGACCACCTTGTATGACATCTGCTGAAGTTCACGCTCCCATTGAAACCAAGGGAAAGCTGGCATCAACTGCCAGGGGAAGATAACTTGTCTGAACTTCAGTCTCCAACATGCAGTGCCACTGAGTCACAACACAACAGGGGTATAGAAGGGGAGAGAAAAAAAACATCAATAACAGCTTCCACTTACTTTCTTGCCTCTATCCTGGCTTCAGAATCTGCATCGTGAATTCCCTTCTTTATCGTTTCAGCTAACACTGATATGTGTCTGAAATAAGAAGGAAAACATTATCCAGCCATCCAGAAAGGTGCGCTACACTTATAAACAAATGACTAACTTGATTTTGCCTTCGTCTCCAAAAACAAACAGTTCATCGCATCTTCCCATTTCCATGTAACATCCTTTGGACCCTTTATTTATTAACTCTTGCAAATCAGTTTTATTTCACCCACATTGCTGACTAGGAAAAGGCAAGCAGCATTCTTCATAGGTCAGTCTTCAGCCAGCTACTGAAACTGCCTGGATGCAAAAACACTTTCTTAACCCTTAAATAGCATCGTGCAGTCTAGGACTAAGGAAATTGTGTCCCTGTCTCTTCTCTCACAATTACTTTCACTGTTTATTAGTCTGAAGCACTATAGAAGCCTCAGAGCTCCTGATAGGTGTGTAGTGGCCTTCACATCATCTCACTTGAGGGTGTAAAAGGGAAAAAAAAAAAAAAATCTATTGAGTTCAGCAATTCAATCAGACAGTTTTTCCAGGGCTGGCATAGGAGACAGACTCACGAAACTGATTGACAGAATCCCAGGGATGAATGGTGTGTGTGCACATACGTACATGCTTTTTTTGTGGCAAAAATATCTCTACTAGAACTACCTGATATAATCTCACCTCTTAGATTATCCTTTCTCCAGAATTAACCTCTCCAGACATCAGTAGAAGAGAATTACTGCACTTATTTTGAGACCTTACCTTTCTAGGGAGTGCGTTTGCCACTCCTGCAACAGCAAGTCCAAAAATTCAAAACAGCGCCTGAGAGAAGAGAGAGAGAAACGCTGAGTTCTTGAAGTTAACAGATTGCGCTGGGTTTATGGGACGGGGTTTCCGTAGCAGAGGAGGGGCTGCAGAGACAGCTCCTGTAAGGAGCTGTGAGAACTTTCCCTGGATCCAAAACCAGTCGGACCCACCTCTGGCCAGGGCCGAGCCAACAAGTGCCTCTGAGTAACATGTTTAAGAAGAGGTCACGGCAGGACTTGCAGCGAAGGGGCGGTGCGGTGTGTACTGCACCCCCAGCCGGGCCACCACCGCCCAGCTAGAGATGGCCATGGCAGCACAGCCAGGGGCTCCAAAGAGCCCCGGTGCCAGGGCACCCGCCGGGCAGAGCTGCTCCTGCTGGGACTGCTGAGGTTCACTGGGTTGGTCAGCAGAGAGAGGACCGAGACCTGAGAGAACACCTACACAGACACCAGGTCAGTGAAGATGGGGTGGGAGGAGGTGTGCGGGAGCTGAGATTCCACTGCAGCCTGTGGTGAGATGGCAAGTGGCTCTTCTGCAGAGCAGAGATCCACCCGCAGCCCGCAGAATGCCCACGCTAGGGCAGAGATGTCTACACTCAAAGGAGTTTGTAGAGGACTGTCTCAGTGCGAAAGGACCCCACACTGGTGGAGACTGACAATGGAGTAGAGATGCATCTGCAGTCCATGGGAAGGGACTCCATGCTGGAGCGGGCAGCAGCACCCTAAAAAGTCATGACTGTGGGAAAAGCCCACACTGGACCAACCTGATGGGTTAGGACTACGTCCTGGGGGAAGAACTGATGTTGAAGTTCATGGAGGACTGCTTCCCGTGAGGAGGAACCTCACATTGGAGCAGTGGAAGAGCGCGAGGAGCCCTCTCCCCTGAAGGAAGGAGCCGCAGAAACAGCATGTGACGAACTGACATGCAACTCCCATTCCCCATCCTCCTGCACCACTGGTGGGAGGAAGTAGAGCTGGGAAGAAGGGAGAGGTGGGAGGGAAGGTGTTTTTAAGATCTAGCTGTCCCCAAGCAAAGTCTGTTTTGCCCAGGGCCATGACTGGTGGTAGCTCAGCTGCCGGCTGGGCTGAACCACAGAGACACACTGACTTTGCCATCCCTGCCTCTGAACAACTGCCATCTTTCGTTATCAAGCTTTCTGAGACACTAGCATTCACTAACAACCCCTATTTTAAGCACAGAGAGGACCATTAGCACATCCACACCAACTTCCAGATGACACTACCACAGAACACTACTTCTGCTGACTGGCTCAAAGAAAACGTGTCACTATATTGGCTAGTAGTGGGGGAACAGGAACATGTCTGTAAAAAAGTCAAAATAATATGATGTTATTATAATGACATGTAAGCACAAAGATGGATTTAAAGAACTTTTTTCTTTGAGGAAAAGTGTTTTTTTTTTTTTCTCTGAAGTGCTGCAGCTTATACAAGGTAACTGACTTTGAATTTGATCCCAATTCTTCAGGGAAAAAGGGATGCATTCTTTAGCGTGTCTATCGACCAATTTCATGAATAAAACCAAACATGAATGTTACCAGAAAGTAGATGTGAACCTATTTACCGGTAAAAAAGAGAATAAATTCAAACTGAATGCTCACCTTCTAACTGCAACAGACTTGGAGGTACAATTACTGGTTATGATGGGTATTAATCGAGGGATGTGCGTATGCTAGAAGAAAAACAAACAACAAAACCAGGAAAAAATATTTACATCACAGTTTCATGGAATGAAAGGCTATCTCCTTCAGCCACTTGAGTCCAGTATGTAGATTTTTTTTTTTTTTTCAATTCTTAAATATAGAACTGCAAAATAAAGGAACACTAACAGATATGGACAGATATTTTTATTATTTAAAATGTTTTACATTTTATTTGTTAAAGATATTTTATTGTCTTCAATAATGACAGGCTCCAGTAAGTCAAGGAGCTGAAGTCACTGCAATAGGATCTAAACTGGCAGTGGTGACAGCTTGAGAGATACCAGGCTATTACAGCTTCTCCAATGAATCTCTAGGCAGAAGTCACCTCTGTGACCTAATAGTTTTAGGAAATACGCAGTGTGAGGAGTTTTAGAGCATAATTAAGAGGATGAGTCTGTCCTAAAGGGCAGGTTTAAACCCATTCAAAGAAAAAAGTTTGCTCAGCTCTTAGAAGTTCGGAAATACACTACTCTGCAAAGAAACATTTTCCTACTATTTTGACAAGGCTTTAACTATCATCGTCTACACAAGGCTGCATGACATCTGAGAAAGCCAAGCCCAGCACAATCAGAAAAGTAGATTAAGCACTTAAGCTAATTTTCATTGCAGTAACATTCATATTTTTTCAGAAACACCACAGTATTTGGAAGCCATAACATTTTGCTCTCTTTTGATGTATACTTACTCGAATGATCAACCTAACTGCTACGACACCAGAAGTGGCCATGACTTTGGCACTATTAGGAATTAGATTAAAAATCGTTGGCATGATGGCTTCTGCCCCATGGTCAAACTTGTTTCCTAGAACTGATGACAAATGTCTGAAAAACAGAATGAAGTCATGCTGGTAAGTGTGCTGAGGATGAAGCCAGTCAGACTTCTACAGAACATCTTACATAAGCACATCTGACATCTCACTCTTCCCAATTGTAACCTCCTCTCCAACACCAAAGGATCAAGAACATCATGTTTCAAAAACTAGTTCATTTACTTTCATTTCAAACTTATGTTTTATGTTCATCTGAACTCTGATAAACAGTAAGTTTAGCATAAAGTAAATAAACTAGCACAGCTGAAAATTTATTATCAAACAAATGAGACAATGCTGAAAGAATGTATTTTCCTGAACTTGTTAGTTTGTATCACAGTTTCTCTGAATCTATTTTACCTTATACGAACAAATTTCAAAAAAGCAGCTAAAAACATTTCAGTGACCTTTTTCTTGAAGCATTTCACAAAGGATAAACCATCAAAAATAAAAACTAGCTCAATGCAAACCAGCACAAAACATACTCATTTTCAGCTTTATTGTTCAACCTTTTCCTACTCAGTGCACGAATGCATGGCTTGCTCATTCCCTCAGCATATCTCAAATCAGCATCGTTTAAAACTCAAGAACACAGTTGGCACAACTACAATTAGTGGCCTACATGGACGTGGTTTTAAACAGCTGTAGTAAAATCATGTTCTACCTGTAACTATGTAGTACTAGCAGCACAATTTACATCCTAAAGTGTTTTTACCAGTGCCTGTTCCTTTTTTCTACATCACGTTCCAAGGGCATTTAGAAAGTAAACTTACCCCAATGTGATACACGCCTCTCGCACTACTTGAGACCGCAGGTCTTTAGCAGATAATTTAAATGCTCCATCCAAAAGTCTTAAGTGTTGGAAGAAGTTATCGTATTCTGCAGCTCCAGCCAAAAGTAAGGAGCGGATCTTTTTCAACTGTGAAAGAAAGTTGTGACTGTGTGTGACTTCACGAAAGAAAGCAGTGACTGTTAATGAGCAATAAACACAAGGACAGTTATGTTCAGTGCTGGTACTTGGTTTCTAGCGTACTTGGACAACTGTTTCTCAGCATGCATTGAGGAACTTGTTACTTAAATCCAAGCAACTTTATTACTTCAGATCTTATATTCAACTCACAGCTTAACATACTAAGTATGATAGCAAACACACTAGCTAACTGTTACAGGAATCTAGAAGCGCATACAGCTGTTCAACCTGTGTTTGTTAATAACCCAAACATTTCTTTGTAAGCCAAAAGACATCTGGAAGGTTCTCCTCTATACTCCTTACGAACCATCTACTTAAAAAAGCCTTCAACGCTTAGGTTCTCTCACAGCTGCCTGGTGTATTAAAAAGATGTCTAGACTGGAAGGGCATAGGGCTTATACTCAGATCTGAGTAATACTGACTTATATCTAAAATATGTCCATTGACTTCATTAAAATAATTATCTGGCTCTACTAGAAGTGGAACTCTGACCCTATCAAAATGGGCAATTTTCTGTTAATATTACAGGGACCACCATTTCATCCTGCAGACATTCTTTTGGACACCTTCACAGGCCTTCGTGTATACTGATGCATCCGTATAGTGTCTCAATTTAAGCTCACTGTTACTCAGTACAGCAAACAAAAAACACTGAAGCAAGCTGAATCAGCAGTTTGCCACTCAGATCTGTAATACAGGATTTGACAGACATGTCAAAGTTACTACACCAGCAATGAAAGACTACAGCGTAGACATGATCATGCATCTATTTACACCATGAAAATATAGCTCACCTCAATAAATAAAACTCTATCTTGGCATGCATATAACATGATTTTCCACTTCCACATTTCCCACAATCATTTATTTATTCAAAACCTAAGTGTGTAAATTCCTCCTGAACTGTTTTACACCTCCATTTGCAAAAGTATAAATAAGTTCTCTGTAAGCAAAGTGACTTTCTGCCTCATCAGGAAGTTTTAAGATATTCAGAATACCACTTCTGACATTTTGATTTCAGCACCTGATAGTAAATTTCTAGCTTTACATCTGGATTTGCTGCATGACTTCTACTTCAACCTGATGCTGTCTCAATGGATTCTTGTATATCGAATAGCACTTTCCTTCACAGATATGGTTTAAATTAGGTCTCATAAGGAAAAGCAGTCCTCAAGCTTGAGTGAACAAAACAGATGTTCACCACTTAAACTATACTCTAACCTTATTTTGAGGTTCTCCCTGTACCCTCTTCATGGGATTAAGCTCATTGCAGGAAAATCTTATGTTAATAGAGTTCATACCCAAGTTCACTACTTACCGCGGAAACTCTCTGTTCCCAGTCATGCTTATCATCTGACAGTATCTCTCGTATTTTGTTTATCGATTCCTCAAGATCCCGGCTGGAATAGATCTGCAAATTGAAATACAAGGTAGCACTATAAGGCAAGATTTACTCCAGAAAATCAGATCACTTCCTAAATACATTCTCACATCCTTTGCTACTCAACGCTTAAAATGTCATGTGTCATGGACATAGCTGGCTTTGCATAATGCAAAGAATTTACATCCATTTCCTGCAATCAAAAATTAGTAAATGACAAGATGATTAAAAGATCATCTTTTATTTTTTTACTCTATTTTCACAATTTTAAGCAGCATTACCGTAGCTACTAGTGGTTATATTAGGGAAGACCTAATCATCCAGATCATTGAGTGGATACATGTGCTGGTGAGCTGTTCCAGAAATAAAACTCAGGTGAAGGAGAGGGGATACATGACACACTTCAGCTATCAAGCTAAATCTACCAGCAAACATGCACTGTCCAGTTGTCGCACTCACAAAGGATCCCAGAGACACAAGTCACCTTTATTGCTTTCAGTTCCCAGGTGGTACAGATGTAATGTAGAGAGGCTTCTGCTGACTGAAGTTTTTGTTCGACCAGACTGCACTGTGCAGCACACATGTCCAGTTCCAGCCCCATTTCTGCTCCTGCAATATCTTTATCAACCCTCCCACCTCTATTTCCTCCACTTCCAAAGGTTTCATACAAACTACTGGCAGATACCATCATTTAAAACTTGACTCCTCCCTCCAACTTCCAACTTGCCTTCCCCTTAAAGAAGATTCACCAACATCACAATGAAGCACAACTTGCCAGTGATTAGGACTAGATCCTATATCCATCTTCTGCTTTTCATTATTGAGTATTTTAACATGTAATTCTACTTACCTGAACCGTTGGGACATCTTCAAATGCCTTAATGAAGTCTTCTTCATCCACAGCACCTGCTCCCTCTTTGGCTGCTGACATATAAATAAAAAAGCCTTTTCAATCTTCTTATCAACAAGAGAATCAATTAAGAAACCACCAGTTACCAAGGCACCTAGCCAGGAGAAAGTTCACTATCCATGCAGCCTCAGAGTGCTGCAGATATTATGAAAGCAGAGACAGGGAAATTCAATGTCAGGCACAGACTAGACGTTCACAGCATCCTTCAACTGCTAGGCACAGAGGGCACATTAGGGAAGTCATTACAGTAGTCACTCAACAGTTAGGGGACACAGTCTGAAACATGAAAGGGAATATTTACTTTAGTTATATGGCAGATTTTATTTTAAAGGATTTAATCGTATCTATAATAGATGAAGGTGCAGATCTGACAGGTGCACAAACACAAATGATAAGGCAGATAAATAGTCTCTGGAATACTAATCAGAGTAGAGACTATCTGATATAGGGAACTTTCTCCATTTCTCTAGGTCACATGTAGAATTATTGCTCACATTCAGAATTACTGCTCAATTTTCTTTCTGCACCTTCATTACCAGTAAACGCAGAAAGGTCTTAGAAGAAAGCCGATGTATCAGTTTTAGAATTCATGGGCTGAAGTTTAAACATGTGGCTGTAAGCAGCCTGCCTCAGTTCAGCTAAAGAGTTGCAGCTATAAAGGCAAAAATCTACACACTGCAACACTGACACGATTTACTCGTAGCTCTCAGTGTGCAACCCCACAGGTCCAACTTTCTACAAATACAAAACGCATTATAGGGACACGGGGACCACTTGGAGATTCATCCTACCGAAGTTCAGTTGTGGAACACAGGCAAGGTACATGCAATGATTTCATAGGGAAAAATTTGCTACCAGATCCTTGGGGTCAGTCTGAAAGTTTTTGCAATAAGCCAGGCATAAACACTACACATACTTCACATAAAGGTCAATTCATATATATGCTATTGGCTTACTTGAAGACTTGGAGCCCAGAGCTGCAGACCCAAGTCTGCGGGTAGTCCCCATCCCAACTCTGCGCGAGTTTGAAGGGGCCTTTGAAGATGTAGAGGAGCTAGCTGAGGAAGGTCTGTTCCCATCCACAGAGTCTTCATCATCAAAAATTTTATCTGCCAGAAAAAGCACACTCAGTTGTAAGTCCAATGAAGCAAAGAGATGTCCCAAGGAACACACCCATGCAAAGGCAAACCTGCTGCATGTTCAGGTCTGCTCTGCCAGCTCCCATCTCAGCAGTGCCTTCATGCTAGAAATCTGGTTATTCACAATGACCACCGGGCCACTGAACCCAATCCTTTGCTGTTGCACACACTGCGTTATAAACACTTTCAGTGAACACTATTCAGATAAAAAGAATAAACTTCAAATCTACAGCAGACAGATGCAAGCCACAGATAATACTCGGGGTGTCTACAGTTTGTATCTCTGATGGTTATGCCTCTGAGAGCTATTTTGCCATGGGCTGTAGTGAAACCAACACCATGAGCAAATCCAAGACCCAAGCGTGGTGGGGATCAGGCAGCACAGGCTGCCCTGTCACACCCTGCTAACTGCTGGCACCAGACCAAGAACAAACAGGGTAACCCAGGAAAGATCACAGACCCATCCAGAGCTACAAATCCACTTTAACTTTTTAAATTATCACCAGAGATTCTTTACAAGGAAATAGAAAAAGTTACCTCAAATTCATAAAAACCATAAATATAAGGTGTATTAGAACTTATTGAACCTTCTGTGTACATCCAAAGGGAGCTGCAGCCTCTACCTCCAAACATGAACATAAATTAACTTAGAATGAATTACAGTCACTTTGATTCTCAGTGAAGGTCACTTCAATTCCAAAGGAGTGCTTATATTGCAGTTTTACACAGATTAACTAATCCACTTTGAAAACCAGCCTTAGGTTGAAAGGTGACAAAGCGTTTGGACAGTTGACATAGACGGTGCATATTATTTATTGAGGCCAGAAAGCCACCTCAGTCCCCAACACTTAGCTTCTCCATCCTAACACTTCATTCAAGATTTGAGACCTGCTTCATGTCCATCCCTCTCCAACAGTCCAAGGTATGCATCCACTCTCCACCATTTCAGGAATATTGCCTTCGATAAATTTCACTTGGCAAAAACTCAAGCAGGTGCTTTAATCCATCCCTACTCAGGAAAGCACCTGGGAATATCTAGTAACAAATACAGACTCCTAGTTAGACACTAATGAGTGCAATTCGATACAGGTTGAGCTTTCTAAAAGTAACAAAATAAAGTGATAACAGTACAGACATAATGTAGGGAAGGCAAAAGAACAGAAGTAGTGATAGGATAAGGGGCAATGGATTTAAACTGAAAGACAGAAAATTTAGATTAAATCTAAGGAAAAAATTCTTCACTACAAGGGTGGTGAAGCACTGGAACAGGTTACCCAGGTTGGATGAGGCTTTGAGCAACCTGATTGAGTGGAAGATGTCCCTGCCCATGGCAGGGGAGTTGAAACTAGGTGATCTTTAAGGTCCCTTCCAACTCAAACCATTCTATGATAGATAAGGCTGTATTGTCATGCCCAACGGTCAGCCTGACAGCCTGAAGGAGTTTTCCCTGCCCTAAGTGATAGTGGATCATTAGCAGCTGGACACAAGAGAACTGTCACAACTTATCTAAAAATCGTATTTCTGATACACATCTGTGCACAATACCATACTCCAGTCACAGCACAACACTGAAACGACAGGTAGACAGCAGTTGGACTCGATGATCATGTAGGTCTTTTCCAACCTACATGATTCTATGATTCTATCCAACAAGTTAAGACAGATAGACAAGGACACCTCTCCCCCTTAATTTTGACATTCAAGAAGTCTTGGAAAATCAGAACAGGCTAGAAGAAAGTAACATCTAAAGGAAAGAGGTATTATAATAACTGGACTGTTTTTCAGGCAAAAGCAAACAAAACAGTGAACGTATGAACTTTAACATCAAGAAATTTAAGGTCATACAGCTAAGGAGAAAAACAAAAGCCACATTTAGGATGTAGGCTCTCTAACTCAGTGTCCTAAGGTGGCCACAGAGACTGTGCTACCTCCCTGTTGACACTAATCATGTTCTGACACATGTAATTTAAAAATAATTTGAAAAGAGCTCACAGAAGAACCATGAGAATGATTAAAGGCTGGAAAATATGCTGTTAATTAAATAAATGAAAATTCACTACAGGGGACTTTTACCTTGCCAGATTCTTAACAAGTTGCTTGATTATATTCTCTGTTAACACACTAACTCAAGATTCATTAACACCGTTTTCCAGTGTGATTTATTAATATTGTTTCTCACCTAACAAAAATATACAACAAGGCCATTGGCTGGAAGTTAAAAACAAACTAAATTCTGAATTGCCTTTTTTTTCTTCCCTTTCCTCCTCCCCCCCACCTCCATTTTTTGTAATAATCACAGGACTGACTCCCTGCAAGGTTATGAGGTGTATCACCCAGCAAATTCTACTACAGGTAGTTCTTAAAAAGCAAGATTGACTTTTTTTTTTTTCCCTGAAAGATATAGTCTAGTTCAAAGAGAAATTACATCAAAAACATTATTCGGTGAGAGTTGCACAGAAGGTCACGGCAGATCAAAATAGACTTTAAAACATGTAATCTCTGAAGCCTCTAAGAAGGGGTTTAAGTGATACACAGACCTTCAATACAAAAACTTCTGAGCAAAATTTGCCCCAATTGCATTTATTGCAAAAGCTCATGTATAGATATTAAGGAAATTATTATCTGTCATATATATTGCCAGCCAAGAGATACTCAGTCATACTCAAAACAAAAAATACTTTACTACTTCAAAAATCACTTTCATCTGGTAATAAAATTCTCCACCAGCTGCATTTCAGGTTATCTATATGCAGACTTAGATATAGTCTTATCTATATGCAGGAGAAGAGGGTTGTTTTGCTATTTCATATAATAAATAAAAATTCAGAAAAACATATATTATTAGAAGAATCACACTCCTATAGCATTTCAGCAATTACATCAACTATTGTTTCAGTGCAAAACAGGCTTTTCTGAGCATTAGCTAAAAAACAAGACTCCAAAAATCGAACCAGTCAGCCCACAGTTTTGGGGCTGTTTGGATTACAATCACATCTTCCTGTTCATTAAGTCTACAAACTAAGCATTACGTATTTATCAAATCAGAATATCCCTTCAATAACTCAGCAGCATTTTCTCATCTGAGCAGTGCAGAATGACAGTGCCACATTCAGAACTGCACATCAAGTCTTCCAGCAGCACGTGTGCAGGACAGAAAGAGAAACAAAGAACAGAAAGAAACCTGAACACAGGAGTACAGAAAACAAGAGAAAAACAAGCTACTACACATTATCATTAAAAAGCCTTTTTTCCCCCCTCATTTCTTGACTCCTGTTCACAATCATTTGAACCAGGATCATATTTTTTGCAGCCTATCTGCAAATCATGAAGTGGTAAATTCAGCATGGGTGTAACTCTCATGACTCCAGCAGAGGTGCACTGAAGCGGAATCGGTGCCACGTTCTAACATTAAATAACCATTGATGTTCTCCCATCCCAAGACCCCCTCTGTGCTCGATTATAAGGTCCACATAGTACCCTCCATCAGAGACATGCCCTTATAAAAAGAGGCCTTTGTCTGCTCACCATTCTGGTGTCTTAGAGAAAGAGAGCACAATTTGCTTTACATTTTTCAATACCTTTACATTATTTAAGAAGAAAAAAAAATGCTTACAAGTACATATCCTTCTGCAAATAAGCTTCCTCAACATTCCTTCATATTTTCCATAGCGTGCCCAGATGTAACAGTGCTTCACAGAGCGCCGCAGCTTTCAGTCCAGAACATAATCAATCATTGCCCCTCGTATTCATTAAGCATGCTGTCTTCGCACGTGGATTTAAACAGCTACAGCTTCAGTCCTCTCTCTACGACTGCAGCTCTGCCGGATTCTCATCAACACCCATTTCAGCCCAGGAAACTTTGGTTCACTTCTAGGAAGGAAAATTCCCTCTAGCGAGGGGAACCCAGGACAAATAATCCAGGATGAAGGGGAGCTGACTGCCTGGCTGGGCTGGCTTGCACTAGGAACCAGCCTGACTTTATCCCCTGGGAAGCGCTAACAGGAGCATCTCAACAGCTGTCATCGTTTGTCCATGACGAATAAATTTAGTCATTATTCATTTTAAAACGTAACCCCTTCAGGTCTGGGCAAGGTGTAAAATGGGGAGAAGAGACTGTGCTGGTTGCTCAGGAATCAGAGTAAATACAGGCCAGAGTTTCCCCTGACTGAACCACCAGCCTGGGACCTTTTAAAGCAAAGTAATTGAGTCTCAAATTTAAAAAAAAAACCAAGACATCAGATTCAAATCTTTTATTTATTTATCTGCAAGCTTTAGAGAAGAGAGTTGCTCTGTGGTGACAACAGAGTGTGACCAGCAGCTTACGCCATGCCCGTTCCTAAGGAGGATGCCTCTGATTCTGCAAGGCACTAAGCCTGCTCTGGCCCTGCTGTGCCCATTTATCATTGCACCATGTTCAAGCACCAGTGCCGCCAAAGCGGGCAAGCAACTGGCAAGAATTTCCTTTTCCAGAACACCACATTCCCCACTTCAATTTTACATTTAAATTTAAGTGGTTAAATCTCTAGTTTCATGTCCAAAATACACTGAAGCACCACAGCCATAGATGTTCTACCTGCTCCTTTTCGCCAGACACAACTCAAAGTGCATCGGCCACTGTTTTTCAGACAGACACCCCCTGGGCACCTCAGACCATGTCCTCCCCCAAGGCCAGTGTCTGGCACCCCAATCTCCAGCTATACCTCCCAAAGGACCCAAGGCACAGCTCGCTCCTCTGTGGGTGTACCACCAGCCTCCAAACACAACCGCTTCAGCTGAGGTTAAATGCCTCTTCCCATTAGCACACACCAGCTCACGTATGACCTAGCTGCAAGCCTGCTCAGCTCCAACATTCACAGGTATTGCATACATTTCTCTAGGAAAACAAGAAAGGGACACATAGATGCTCCTCAGCAGGACTAAACACTTAAAAACAAAGGAGTTGCAGTCACAAGCAGCAGTACGCAGGCACA